ATAAGAAAAGAAAATTTGGGAGGTGAGAACTCAAAGCCTCTCGAATTTGGGAAACTGTAGAGGGTCCCCCCAGACCTCTACAGTTCCACACCAGGGCTAACATTGATCACCCTGGGGCCAATTAGGGCTGGCTTCCTCCACCTTGATTTTTGATATCTTTGGTTTCTTTTTTCCATCTCCCTTTGAAGTCTGCATTTGATCCTCTTCCTGAATGATAGAAAGAACATCTCTGTCTCTCTTGCTTCCTGCTACTGTGGTCTGGGATTTTTTTAGGAGCTCTGATTGAGCCAGTTTATTCCCTCTTGGATTTACTCTTTTCCACTGTCTGCCTTTCTGTATTGGCATTTGCACCCCTTGTCTTTTTGGGCCCTGTTCTTGTATCTCTACCTCTATGAGCTCCAATTTTTTCTGCTTCTCTTGCAGGTATTAACTCCAGGTTCCACTCATTTTCTATTTGCAGGTTTTGAGATGCTGAAGCTTGGTTTGCCTCATTCTCTATCCCAACCTTCTTGCTACTTACAATAATTGCTAGAGGGGATGCTAACTCGGCCACACCGGGGGTTTTGGATGAGTTCCGTTTCATGATCATCTGGATTTGACCTTTATATTCCTTTCATTGGACTTGTTGGTTATTGGCTCACTTGTAGTTGAAGGGGGAGGAGATTCTGATATATTCACCCCTTCCGTAGCTTTTAGCCACTCCCCGTACTGCCCATCTTTAAGATCTTTCTTTGCGATGGCCTCCTTTCTGATTGGGCAATTCTTATCCATGTGTCCCAAAATACCACAGTAGAAACAAAGACTAACAAGCTTTTCATATTTGAACTGAACTGTGACAATTTTTTCGCCCAATCTAATAGAAGTCCACCTAGGAATTGGCTTCCTGACATCCAGACTAACCTGGAGACGAAGAATTCTGCTACCTTTAAAACCTGCTTTTGCTAGCATCAAATTTTTAATATCCATGAATGCCATCCCTATCTTCAGCCCAACATCTGAGCTCATCCAATTGATAGGTACACCGTGCGCTTGAACCCATACAGTCAAGTCATTGAAGCTAGGCCATGGCTGCAAAATTAGGTATTGGTTCTCGAATATCCAACAGCGCCCCATATCCACTTTCTCCAGTGCTTCTTGATTCGGAAAGAGGAATTGGAAGTAGTTGTTGCTGAATTCTCGAATTTCCAGAGCGTTCCCCATGCGCCAAAGGAGACCCATTGTCCGTTTCATTCCCAACCAGTTCAATTTTTTATCACCTATCACTTTCCCAAATATTCTTCGATTGCATTCCTCCGCGCTGTATCGCACCTCTTTTTCTTTTATGTCGATTATTAGCTTCTCCGCATCGACGATTGAGATTTGTCCTAATTTGAGCCCCAATTCGTCGTCCATCCTTCAGCTAGCAGAAAAGCCCTAAATACACTTCGGCCCACTTACCTTTGCCAAAAATCTTACCTTCGAACCCGAAGAGAAACCCCCTTTCGGAGAAGAACACTCTCAGCACAAGAGAAGAAACACTCTCACCACGAGAGAAGAACACTTTCACCACGAGAGAAGAACTACAGAGATATCCTCTCTCTCTCTCCTTACTTAAAATCAGATTATAAGCCCCTATCATAATGAATCTACCCCTCCCATTCCAAAAAAGTCTATCATTTGCACTCCATTGACTTGATATGGGTGGAGGACATGAGAATGAGGATGTGGGCCAATTGAGCCTTCAGCTTGGAGCCTAATGTGGCAATTTTTGTAACACCCCACTTTGGTTTTACAGAAATTTCGAATTTTCCAAAAACCAGAATAAAATTTTCAAAAACATTTTCGAAAACTTAGTGGGTGTTAACTAATATTTTTCATATCCCAAGTCTTATCTGGGCCTACGGGGATTCATTATCCGGTTTTCACAATCGGTTTTCATTAACCAACATAAACTCATGAAATAATTAACCAAACATAAATCACAAAACGACAAAGATTCATAAGTTTCAAAACCTACACACAAGGTTCGAAAAATAGTTTACACAATACATAACGTGCAACAAACTCATTCAAGTTCAACGGAAGCAATAAAATGCATAAGTAATTAGACCGACCCAACTCGTCTCTTCCTCGTCACCCGACTGTCACTTAACCTGCATCGGTAAAGAGCAGGTGGGGATGAGCACAAGAGGAAAAGTAGTGCTCACCACAATGCAATAAATGTTAATCTCAATAATAACCAGTAATCAATAATCGAAAGGTATGGTCTCAGCATGTATACGTAAATAATTAATTATCCCAACCTCCTATCCCAAGTTCGTTCTCATGTGCACACCCATATCAATAGGCTACTGCCGACTATATATCGAAAGCCACGGCCCTCGGCCTTCTGGTCTTACAACGAGTGTCCAGCCAGTAGGAGTCTCCCCCGAAGGCCCGGCCTCGCCATCGGACTTACTTCGGGGTACTTATCGCTGACCGAGCACAGCCCTGGTCTCAGGCGACGTGTCCTTCGCAAGGACGTAAAGAGGAGATTACCCCATCGGGGTCGTTCTATAGCTACGGGGATAACCGTTCGACGGCCGATACAGCTCACATCGAAGGCTACATGTTCCACATGCATACTTTGATCATACCATAAGTAAACAAATAACATTTAAGGCATAGAAATTTTACAATTACAACCCACCTGGATAGCTCGGTAGAAGATTGCACACAAGAACAAGTATGTAGGATGAGGCTCGACTCCTCAAACACCTACATTTAAGCGAGATATTTCATCAATAATTTATCTTACTACTCGAATTTAATATAAAACCCATACTTAATAAAAATTAAGTTTTACGGGTTTTAATCGGATTTTTCGTGGACTTGGAACTCTCTCATTTTGGAAAGATAAGACTCGGAAGATAAAATTTGGAGTCTCGGGATTTAAAAATAATTTTTCTAAATTTTTCTCATTTAAAATATTTTTAAAATTGAAAACGATACCAAAAACGGACTTCCGGAACACAAAGATGAACTAAATAGTCAAACTGGGCCGCTGGAAAAACCAGCCCGCTGACACTATTCAATTTGGGCCGAGGACAAAGCCTCATATAAGCGATATTGGGCCAGAAGAGAGGGTTGAGAGGGAGCTAAAAATCTGGGCCTAGCGGGCTGGAGCGGGCCAGGGTGCTGAGAGAATCGGGCCGCGCGCGGGCTGGAGTTCGGGCCAGAAGGCCCGCGCGCGCTTCTGCCCTAATAAATAAAAAAAAAAGGTAAAATTTCGCAATAGCTGGGGTTCGAACCGTCAACCTCGCTTGAAGAAAGAGTGTCGCACGCCACTGTGCTACTCAAGCTGAATGCAACATAAGTTGCAGTTTTTACAAAATATATTTTCGAACAGAGTTTTTAACACTGAACAAAATCTGCGAATTTGAAAAGCCTACCAGCAGATTGAACACAAAATTCATGCTACAGATTTCAATAGCTGTATATTTCACAAAATCCTTACTCAACATTTACCCTTCCAGAGTTCGAAAGCTTTTCAAAAACGGGATTTGTTCGAAATAGGAAACGACACCTAACGGTTCGAAAACAATCAAACGACACAACCATGTCGACAAGTTTCGAAACAATAAAACGAGATTCCGAACTATCATATACCAATCGAATGGACACAGCAACACATCCGGACTTGAATTAACAATAAACGAGAGTTCCGAAATCCACGACAATAACACGAAACATTATCCGACGAACACAACGACTTATGCGAACCAAAACAACAATTCAACCAGCAATATAAAATCAACAGGTTATCAAAATACGCAGGGATAGTCGACGGAGGTTCGAAATCAATTACCCGACTTCGGGAATTGGCGAGAATTCAGGAAGCAGACGAGGCGATCGAAAGCTTCCAAGCTCGAGACCTCCGAAGACGACGCAGCCCACGAACTGTTGCTGCTCTGGAATTGACGACGACGGTCACTCACGGCGAAGGCGAGACGCTGCTTGGAAACTCGCCGGAATTAATGGAGGACGGCTGATTGCAGAAGCTCGACGAACGGGGATCGTGACAGGACGGCGACTGTGGCTCACGAACGGACGCCGGGAGTAGGTGCTGCAACGAGGCACGGTGGCAATCGCCGGCAACAATGGCGAGAAAGCTTGATGGCGAAAAAAAAATTGCAGGTACCAAAAATCGATTTCGTCTGTGAGGGATTTGAGGGATTGAGGGTTCTGATCGAGGGTCTCTCACGGCTTAAGTAGATAAAAGAGATGAGGAACGATCGAAAGGGGAACGTGCGCGAGATTTCCCAACAAAATCGCAACTGAATCGTTTGAACGGAACGAAAAAAGACCTGTTCTTGCGGAGCTCTGATTGCAGCGATGCGCGAGAGAGAGAAGAAGAGTGGAATTGGGCTGCTTGTATAATTTAATAGGGTCACACAATACATCTTGGGCCAAAATAAATATAAGTTTTGGGCTAAAAAAATTTATCTCTTAGCTTATGTGGGCTAAGGCAATAACATCTCAATTTGGGCCAAGAATTAAATTACATTGGCTAGAAAAGAATGGCAACAACGCCGATGAATTAAGTCGCTTCGGGCCGAAATAAAATATACGCGATATAAGACTTCTCGAGATGCTCGATCGACGGCGAGAAATAAATTAAACCGGATTATCTATATTTATAATACACACGATATATAACAATAATAATAATAATAGTAAAATTATGCATTTAGGCAAATAATTACAATTTGACAATTAATGGCAATAATAATAATAATAATAATAATAAGGACAATTTAATAATAGCAATAATCAATAATTACTCCCAAATAATCCACAATAAAACGGGGTATTACAATTTTGTTGCCAGTGACCCGACACAAATCCATCGTCGTTATTGATCTCGAGGATGAATCTAGATCCGAAGAGTTTCTAGGAACAAATAATGGTTTCTTACTAGACGAGCATGGAGAAAAACTAGGACATGCTCCAGAAACTAGTGCTTATGATATGTCATGGGGGAAAATAAAGACAAAACTTCCAATTTGAATTTGACTGCTAATTCAACAGCAAATCTGCCACTTGGTTTTGGATCTCCATATATTGAAAACACGAGTATGAGTGTGAATATAAAAGCTCCTTATCCTGTCACATGTACCCGAAAATTGTAATATACTTCAAGACAATGGAAAACCAATTGAAAAAGAACGTTTGGGAGGCATCCATGTGGTGATGCCTATATCGAAGAGGAACGGTATGTTGCTCTAGAGTCGCGTGTCATATAGTGTTGTGGTTTGTATCCAAATTGTCATCTTAAATGTTATGTGAAAAATTATATATATTCCGTCTATTATTCTTTCTTAATTATTATGCTTGTGGATTGCATTGTATTTCCAAAAGCCTCGATGGTCTTCAACCACTTATCAAGAGTTACAAAATGTAAAGTTCCTCATTGAGAACGCATTAATAGTTGACTAACCTAATACAGTTGAAATTTGACCTATACAGAAGCTATGAGATAATGTAGCAAACTGGTAAGGTTTATATATACGCTGAAGGCAAAAAATTAATCTTTCACTAGCCTCCCCTTAAAGGAATGTATGCATCCGAAGGTTGGTTCATGATGCTGCTAAAATCGAACAAGAAATGTGTTGACAGTGGTATTTTGAATGTATGTACAATGAGTTTTGAATGTGTAGACAATGGGTTTTGAATGTAGTGAATTGTCTGCTATGTCTATAGTGTTGTGGGTTGATGTGACATTTTAGTGAATTTATGCCCAAAAAAAAAAAAAAAAATAGTATTAGGGACTTAAGCGGAACAAATGTGTGGTATTTGGGAGTGTAGTAAAAAGAGATTAGTGACTTGTTTGGAAGTTCAACAGGGGTTTGAGAGTGAAGCGTGGCTTCCCCCAGATAGAAAAACCCCAAATTTAAGAGAAAACCTAATCCTCTAATCCGGCGAAGCGTGCCTTATCCCAGTAGGGCCTTCGGGTCACCATGATGGCAGCGTCCTCTGAGTCGTGCGGTTGAACTTTGGAGTCTCACCGGAAGTGGCGGTGGTCTTTTCCTCGGGCGAGTGACGGGTCCCCTCCTTGGGTTTCGCCTTCTTGCAGGTTGCCAAGGTGGGTCAGGGTCTGACAATCCTTTGGAGTCTAGGTGGTGGCGGGCTTCCGGCGAGGCTGTGAATGAAGGTTGTGACTTCTTTTATCCCCTCGGAGGTAGGCGGGGTGGTAGTCGAGGTTGAGATCAAGGCGGTTTCACTCTCCTCCATTCTCCCGTTTTACTCTGCTTGTTGGGCCTTTGGGTTGTGTTAGCGGAGTCGGCTCGGGTTGGGGTGGGGTCTTGTGTCCTAGACCTGGGTTGTCAGATCTTGGGAGGTGGAGTATGTTGTGGATCTCCGATTGCGGGACT